GGCTATAGATAGGTGATGTTCGTAATGGATTATGATTAATATGTTTAATACAATTATGTTTTTAGAATTATATTATTGATAAAGATATTTTCATGGTCGTGGCGAAAGATTAACTATGATGATGATTTATATTTTAAGATCAGTTAAACAATGTCAATTATTTTCTGATAATGTTTAAGTGTTTATTGAAGGGGTGGACACTTAGTACTTAGTATCCGATGGAGTCTAATCCTACTTCGGGTTTTATTTGGAATTTTTTAAGGTTTAGACTCATTCAGATTTTGTGGGTTTGAATATTCATTTAAATTATGTAAATTTTTTTGTAAATAAAATATATATTTTAAATCATAAAAATCCTAAATAAATATAAAATACATATATTTTGGAATAACATATGATTAAATATTTATAATTTTCATAAAATTTGTTTTGATTGGATAGTTGAATGGAAAACATTATATATTTTGGTGTTTAGAATATTTTTTACTATTTTGAATATTTAATTTTGATACTTTAAGTATTATCTGGTATTATAGACATATTTCAAATATTTTGAACAGTTTTAGATATTAGATCTAAATTAATTATTATAAATACAATTATAATTGTAATTTGGTTATTTCTGAATACTTAGAAATGTTTCAGATTTGTTTTGTTGGATAAATTTTTTGAAAGCATTTAAATAGTTTACTATCTTCAGCTCGAGTTTGTTGTGTGTTTAGATCTACTTTATTTTGATTCTTTCTAATTGAATATTATTTAATATTTTTTTACTTATTTTTCTGTTGTTTGAAATTATTTTCTTCATCTTAGAATGCTCTGTTTTAAAAATATCAGTCGTGGACTAATTGATTGATTAAACATGAAACGATGGGGTGACCACGGCAAATTAGACTGATTCGCTTGTATTCTATGTTGGAGTGGCATGCATAAAATGTAAAAAAAGATCATCTAATTTATAACACTTAATGCATAACAATTAATTCATTAATCTCCAATGATGATATCTAATTTAGCCTAAGTCCAAACCAATTATGATATCTAATTTTGTCCAAAGCTAAACCAATCATTAGTTTCAAATCTCAACCAAACCATTTTATGTATGTTATCTAATTTAGTATTTATTTATGAATTTAAGTACCATTAATGTTTATAAAGAAATATTTATTATAGATGAAAAAATTATGTTATACGATAAATAAATTATTATATATAAATAGTGTAAATTATTTTAATAACAAAACTTAATTGAAACACACACATACATAAACTGAATCATTGACTTTGATTTATGAGCAAGAGTACAAATAATAAATCGATAATCTCATCACCTACACAAAAATTATGTATACACTTACGTAATTGCGTAATATGCAAAATTTATTCTAAAGAAATAAAATTATACAATTTAAATTTAATGTTAAAAAAAAGAAACCACTCACAAATTTCCACCTGTCAAATAAGTATTAGAAAACTTCAAAATGGCTTTGCAAAGAAATTACTGTCTTATTTTCTAGAAAATATGATGCTAATGACATTATTTACTACATTAATTTAATTGAAACTATAACAAAACTATTCATGAATTGACCATTTTTATTTTCTTTTGAATCGTTCTTATTTATTCTCAAAATTAATATTTTGTATTACACTGTAGAATTTTGAATTATATAATGTATATATTTGTGGATTTTCGTAATAACATGCAACCGTATTTTTCACCTAAATTTTTTTTTTTTTTGAAAAAGGGTTTTTTCACCTAAAATATTGTAATAAAGTAATTAAACCAACGGTTTAACAAATGATCACTTCATCTTAATTAAAAACTAGAGATTGACCCGCACGTCCGTGCGGGTGTTAATTTTTACTTTTTTATAAATTAATATTTTTTTCTTACATAATTAGTATTAGATATCTTATATGTATCATAATATAATTAAATATATGAATATTTAAATATCCGGATCAAGTACAATAATATGGTTAGTTTTGGTTATTTGATTATTTTAGGTTAAATTTAGTTTGAATTCAAAATACCCTAACTAAATCGATTAATATTGTTACTTTTTGGTAAAAATATCCAAATCGGCCTTAGATTCTTTAGTTTTTGGATATTTGTAGGTTTCTAATTATTAAAACTGAATTCTTCTTGACTTGTGAATACCCGATTTGAAATATTTTTATAAATTGATTTTTTTTCTTTTATGATTAGTATTAGATATTGTATATGTATCATAATATAATTAATGGTATGAATATTTGAATATTTTTAGGTTTCTATACATTAGAATCAAAACCGAATCAAATATGGTAATATGGTTATTTTTAGTTATTTGGTTATTTTTAGGTTAAGTTTAGTTTGAATTCAAAATACCCAAACTAAATCGGTTAATATTGTTACGTTTGGTACAAATATCCGGACAGGTCTCAGATACATTATTTTTTGGATATTTATAGGTTTCTATATATCAAAATTGAATTCTTCTCGACTTTTGAAAATCGATTTGAAATATCCACATGAAAAATTACAATACCGAATGAATTCTAGTTTCAAAACTCAAAAAACCTGATATCCAAAATAAATAACTCGTAGTTGAACAAGTATTCGAATGTGTATGTCTAATTGATTATGTAAACAAATAAAAAAAATTGCTAACCATTTTAATTCTTGTCACATATAGAGTCATTTCATTCAAATATGTCAAACTATTATAGTTGATATGTAAAATAAATGTTGTCGAAATATTATAGTAACTATAATTAATGAAATAGTTAAAATGTGAAAATGAATGTAAAATATAAAATAAAAAATTGAAAACAAATACGTTTTGTCTTGTAATTCTGTAATAAATAATATCAATTTATTTAGTAAAAATAATAAATGAAACTGTTAGAAGTAATTAAAATAGCAAGAAAAACTGTAAAAAATCACTTAAATTAGGTAAGTATTATTTTTTTACTGTTATCCATGTTTCCAAACACATATTCATTTATTCTACTATTCTAGTTTCCAAACAATTTCATTGTGTACTTCAACTTTAATAATATAGATTATATTTCATATTATCTATGCTTTTCTTTTTGGAACGCCTATTATTATATATGCCAACTTTCAAAATTGTGATGGTTAATTCTAACTTCTACGAACAAAACCAAGACTACGAACGTGAACACACGAAACAATCTTATATTGAAAGTCTTGAATATATTTGAAGTTAGTTGTTCGAACCGTTGTTCAAAAAAAAAAAAGTTTATCGATGGTTAACGGCTCAGGATGGTTCGTGGTTTGAGAGTTAGACTCTGGGTTTCGAGTGTGGCTTCGGATTTGTCTCCTCCGGAGGGTTGTCCGTTTTTCGATCTGTCCTCTCTTATGAGGTTACAGTTAGATGGGTGTATACGGTCCCGGTGGACTGCAAAGGAGGCGGTAATCTCTGGCGCAAGATACCGAACGACGGCATCGTCGGATCACGGCTTCTCCTCGTACCGTCGGTGGTCTCTATTTTCTGGCCTACTTTGGGCTCGGGTTAGGATTCTTCTCTCGGGTAAGCTCTGGTTCTCTTTGGAAGCTGTAGGAGCCGTTGCAATCAGGGTTTGAGGGCGCCCTTCTCTCGGTAGCTCACGGCAACCAGGTGTTTCTCATCTAATACTTGTGGTTGGTAGGTCCGACATCATCTCGCTTTTAAACAGCTTACTCATTTGTGTTTGTGTTGTTCTCGGTTTGTTCCTTTGTTGCTGCATAGGGGTTACAGTGTTGCATTTTGTTTTTCTGCTACTTGTTTTCTATGTATCTTCTGTCAAAAATCAAAATTGGTAATAATACTTTAACATTTTACCAAAAAAAAAAAAAAAAAAAAAAAA